CCGTGAATGAGGCTGGAAAAACGAAGCATTGAGAGGAACAAATGTGATGAGAATCAGGATGTTGGACGAGTTTGGTCAATACCTATATATATACATATATATACATATATATATATTTCAAGGGAGAATGGAGGCGTAAACTGAGTTGTAAATGTTTATTGTAACGTTTCGATCTAAACTAGGACTCGTTGTCAAATGTAAATGATATATATATATATATATATATATATATATATATATATATATANNNAGCTTTATGCATCCGGATGGATGTATTTTCAGCAATTACATCATATTTGTGGATTTAAATTTACAAAATCATTATATAACGAAACTGAAAGCAATGGGGTGTGTTTGTGAAGCAAGCGGTTGCGCAATTCTGTGGAAATTTTGTCCTTGTCTATAGGTGGATGTGCTATTGCTGAACAGAATAACGATAAGCAGAGGTTCGTGCAAATAAAAATTAAAATCTTGGGCGTGTGGATGATGTAGATACAGCTTTTGAAAATCTGTTGTGTAATGAGTGGTGAGCGTGTGAGAGTATTTTGGCGATGAAACGTTCGCATGATTGTAGGTGTCTGTCAATGATAGATAGAATCGGCGAGTTTATCTCTGATAATGCCACTACATTTAGAGATGTGTTTCAGAGATCTTGGCAGGAAATAATAGTCTTTCTTCAGCATACCGGAAAAAAATTACTGGGGAGCCATAAAACCAGTGGGGTAGCACGCATGCATTCACAATTCTAACAATCAGTTTGTGGGGAACAGAAAGTATTCTCAATCAGAGTGAGAAATATGAAAGTTTTCTAACTTTGCAGAATGTGTTTTGAACGTGCAGTGGCCATGATAAGTTGTGTGATAGGGTGACGCCAAGGTATTTTACTATTTTTGATTTCTGTAGGGGTTGTTGATTTACAGAGAGGGTGGGGAACCTATCTGTAAGGGCTGAATATGGTACATCGGCCAAGATGGAAAACACAGCATCCTGACATTTATAGGCATTCAATGAGAGGGAACGGGACAGGGACCAAGTGACGTCGTTCAGCTTGCTGTGAATTTCTGAAGCGTCTTCTGGGGTGGATGCTTTGCAACCTATAACAACGTCATCAGCGTATTTACAGCCAATGAATGCAGGAGGAATGGAAAATTGTTTGACATACGTAGAATAGAAAAATGGGGAAAATATTGCACCTTGCAGGACACCAGAAGAAACTGGGCGAGTGGAGGACTTTTTGCCATTGGGATATGTAAACTGCCTTCTATCTGTGAAATAATCACAGATCAGTCTGCTAACGTTTGGATTTACACCACTTTCGGTAATCAGGTTGAGCAATACTGATCGAATATGACTGCCGAAAGCGTTTTTGTAGTTTATGAAAACCATTCTGACGGTTTTATTTTTCTTATCTTGTGCCGAGATTATTGAATGAACAAGATATGCAACGGCATCAAGTGTTTGCCCGCGAAGGGCGATATATGAACTAGTGTGTTCCTTAAATTCAAGTGACATATCGTGACTTAGAAATTCCACTAAATATCAGATTTGTACTCTCATGATCCGATCATTTTTCTCACGTTGAGTCAAATTCCACATTGGATAAGATGAAATAATGTGCTCAAATTCAGTCACCAGAAAACCCCAAGAGGTATATTGCTAACCAATGTTCCTATGATACATTTGATCTTATTGGACTGATAACCTCTTTCTATGTCTATTCGGGAGATTGGTATTTTGTTTGTGATCAGCTGATACCATTGATAGAGACTGAATGACGATAACGGAGTTTTTGGCCTTCACCATTGGTGAGTGTTTGTGTATGTCTTATAGAGAGTTGCGCACGTTCCTCAAACATTCTCGTTTCCATATTCCTATATATTGAATAGGGCTGAACGAGCCCGGTGACACGGATGGTGGAGCCTCCCCAATCTGTGGAAGTCCGTTTGCCGGAGATGAGAAGATTGTGGAACCAGCTACGGGGGTGGAAGATTGGCCGGAGGCAACTGGTACGTTCGAGTAAAGAGAGCTGATTCTAGTTAGATCGTTGCTTTCTCGTTTTTTACGATGCATCTTTTGATCCCTCTATCATATTAAAGTGTCTTGGACTCGTTGAATCCAGACAAACATTGTGCTTGATACTGTTTAGTCTGCCCAGCTGAAATGCCTCGCTCGCAGCGTACGACACTTGAAAATTTTGTTTATTTTGCAGTTCTCTGTTGATCCATCCATCGTATCACAAGGATAGTGAAGAGTGCCTTTTTATTGAATAACATCGATTGAGACCAACAGCATGAGTGGCTGACATCATGGTGACTTTGACCTGATAAGTACTTGTGGCAGCTGGCAGCACAAGCTCAGGGACCCTCAGCAGTGAACCACGTACGGTCCCAGAAGAACGAGCTTGGCGTTGACCCGAAAGACAGGAGGGCCTCCTACCGCCAAAGTTAGCTGACGATACCAGGTTTGGACTTCGGATGTGAAAACACAAGGCACAGCAGTGATAACGACTTAAGCCGCTCATCGCTCAAAAATGGTCTCGATCTTTTCCAGAAGTAAGGCAGAGAAGTACGGAAAATGATCGCTTGGCATAGCTGAAAATCAACATAAGTACATATTTCAGCAGATATAGCCTAGCATTATCGCTCAAATGTAGTCATTTTCTATTATAAAAAACTGCATAACTGATGCAGGACTTCCACTCAATAATTAGCTATTTTTTGAAGAACAAGAAATGCGAACAGTTTTTTCATTTGCATCACAGTATAGCATTTATTACACTGTATATTCTGACAAACACCAGCCGTTATTACTTATCAGTAGTGGATGTTCTATTGAAGGTACTTTGATATGTTATGAACTCCGATGGTTAAGGGATGGTGACCGGGAGTACAGTGAATCAGCTATCGTTCAGCTTTTAAATATCTGCATTCTTGTGTCTCTCCCTGACGTGCTTCTCATTGTCTGATTCCCTGATCTTATGCCTATCATTGGCTTCACAATATTTTATCTCCCTCGTGATGTTCTCCCCCGATGTGTATTTTCTGTTTTTTTAATCACATACATTGTTTCTGCCGTTTTCTCACCCACGCTTACATGGATTATTTGCTTATTCTCTAGACATTTATTCACACCTCTTAATCTTTTCTGGGGGTAATGGGCATAGATACGCTCCAGTTTCAAACTCTAAAGTTATCTCTCCCTGGTAATGTTTCACCCTAGCCTTCCGAACTTCGACTTTCATATGTCACTTAAGTCAAGTCAGTAGTAGCTTTATGCACCTTGAGGGAGGGGGGTAAATTTTTAGCATTTGACACCACATTTGTGGATGCGAATTTATAAGACATAGAAAATGAAACTGAAAGCAGTAGATGTTGTCTGTGAAAATGAAGCAAGGAATTGCGTACTTCTGTGGAAACTTTCCCCTTGCCAACAAGTATACGTGTTAGATACGGCAAAAGAGAATTACAATATGAAAGGGTACGTACACAAGTTTGAACCTTGAACGCATGTATGATATAGATACAGCTTTGGAAAATGCGCTGTGTAATGAATGATCGGTGTCTGAGCATATTTTGGCAATAACATTTTCGCGTGCTTGTAGATGTCTGATGGAGTCTGCAAGTTTATCCGTGACAATGCCATTACACTTGGAGAATTGTTCCAGAGATCTCGCCATTAAATAATTCTTTTTCAACATACCGGTAAAAATCACTGGGCAGCAATACAACCAGTGGGGAAGCACGCATGCATTCACAAACCTAACATTCAGCTTTTGGGGAACAGAAAGTATTCCTTATAAGAGTAGAAAATATGAAAGCTTTCTCACTTTACAGAATGTTCTCTTTAACACGCATTGGCCATGATAAAGTGTGTGATAGGGTGACGCCAAGGTATGTTACCATTGTTGCTGTTGGTATGGGTTCATGATTGTTACGTCTTTCCCCTATACTCTGTATCCCATCCCACTCGCTCGTTATTGGTATTGTTAATATTGTTGTGGCGCTGGCACCATGCTTGTTCTCATACTAGTGTTACAATATATTAAAAGAATTTATTTCAGATTTGATCAAAATTGAAAGCCGCTTGAAATGGGTACTCTGCTCATGTCTATAGGCCTGTTCTTTCCACCTGCGCAGCTGTTTTAGTAACAGTGATGCATATCCATCTTTATGGATCAAGACCGCTTCGAGTGGACAACACTGGTTAAAGCAAAAATTAAGATAGCCAGTAACATGTTCACAGAGGGCTGAAGGGTTCTGATTTAGAAACATAGAAAAGTCTGTGGAGGCAATCAGGGATCTTAGCCTTTCTAGATTCTCAGACGTATATTTCCTTTGATTTATTATTTTGGATGGTTTTCTTTAAACAACGTGCACTAGTTAGTTTTGCCGTATACATTTGAACACACTTTTGAGATGCAAGGTCACGAGCTACTTACAGGTGCACGTTTCTGAACTTGGGAAACTTGCTGTCTATTTGTAAAAACGAACACTAGTTGTGAATAGATTCTAATCTCTTAGGAAAATGTGCCAGGTTTTGTAGACCTAATGTGATGAAGAACATTCAATCATGTCTTTTAAAGTCACTAACAAATACACAAAGATTTGCTTGTTTTTGATGTGCCGGAGGTAGAAAAATATAAGAAAACCTATTTATGTCAGATGCTGATATGGTGGATGCCAGGTAAAAGTTTCTAAGAAGTATGGAACAANTCTAAAACACGGAGCCTACATTCGATGACGTGGCAGTTGCTCTTATCCGTCAAGTATTCGTAGATAACGACGGTTGATTTAATCCAGTTGTCGTTTACCTACCTTGCAACACCGCTTCGTTTATGAACACTTGTGGGACGGTCAACCCGATACACGTTATGTTCACTGGGAATATCTTCGTTCAGCCACGATTCTTGTAGCATAATAATTCCGATGTTTTATACTCCTGCATGTCGTCGACTTTTCACAACAGAGAAAGAATGTCGCTTGTTAAAATGAAAGTATTTCGCAGTTTACTGGTGCTGCCCTGTCTGAGAAGGACTTGCCCACCTGCACGATGTTTTCTTCCTCTGAAGCCTTAAGTTTTAATAATCTGCTTGAACTTATTTCTCAGCTTTTTGGAATAGTGAACTATCACAAAAGGTACGGTACGCGTGATACCATATAAGGGTTTCGTAAACTTGCTCGTATAGGTTAGCATTTGGTTTCCTTGAAATTTTTCAGGACGCAATTGATGATGAATAAATCCACAGATTGGTGTAGGTGTGATTTCCGAGTTAACTGGCACGGTCGAACTCAAAGCCCCCGCTAGTTTGAGACGGATTATGCCCTAATAAACCCTACGCTACTACTTTGACTGAATACCATCCACGTGGGATATCTGGTCTGCGTTTTCAGTCGTTAGTCCCATGCGCGTGTAACAAGCAAACTAAAAAGAAACCACATAATTCTTCTTGTTACAAGACTTATTTCAGCTTCCTCAGTGATTTTAAAAACAGACATGGTTGTAGAACACTTTCATTGTCTAGTCCTATTCCCCACTCTCAACCGTCGATTCAACAAACGCAGAGCCGGTATACACTATTTGATATAAATACACTAGTTTTTCTTTTATCTGTACATTAAGACTGTATTTGATTTTCGATTACGTTCTCTTCTGTGACTCATATTTCTCCGGCAGTGCACAATCGCCGGTGAACTATAATTGAATACTTAGCCGATCGTAAAAACCCTAACTGAATTCTTCACATGATTTAACAATAGCTACTGCAGTCAACCTTTGTGGAATACCTATTCACGCTTGCTTCGTACTTTGAATTTCAGATGGTTCGCAATCTAAATTTGATGCACAATTCGGGACTCCTCAAGGTAAGCGTTTGAATTCTTCTTATATTTTAACGGAAATGCATTAATTAGAGCATGAATGTGTATAGAAATATATTTATAAACTGTGCCACCTAAATAACGGTATAATAATCTTGATGGTAAAGCAAAAGTTCATGATTTTCCAGTGGGCGGGTTATTGCAGGGTTGTTCAGACCAAAGCAAGTGAATTTTCCTAAGAGTTTTACTGTCAAGGTCCTTGAGTAGCCAAAGCTTGACCCGGTCTATTGGAGGTAGCTGTCCAGCTCATCGGATCATGCTCCTTTGGACCGGGTCAGGCCTCTAAAGTGTTGAAAACATTTTATTGCCCAATTAAAACACTCACAACTGCCACGACCAGTTATTTGTGTTCGTATGTATGTGTGGTTCCTACGTCTCTTTTCGGTTGGCTTGAAATCAGTTTTTTAACCAACTCCTCTAGATGAACTGTCAGGGTTCAGCAATCCCGTTATAGCCCTCTAGTCCTCTCACTCTGCTGCAAGAAAACTGATTAGGGCTTGCTCATCAGAAGCTTTTTGAAACGCCGGACTATATGGGAGCATTTCACAAAGTGAAAGGGAAGGATAACTAGCCACAACCGAAGTCACTCACCTCTGACTATGCTTAAACTTCTGGAGACAGATAACATATATGAAAGTGGATAGCAGCTCACTCTGGAACAATATATTATATATATTATATTTACCACCGGCTTGAAAACAAGCGTGGTGCCAACGCAACAACAATGACAGTGAAAGGGGATAGGTGGATTGGGATACAGAACATGTGAAGTGGGGGTGAGACAGTTAAACAGAAAATACAAGATAACAGAATTTTTTGTGTGTTTCACCGTACACCTTTTGCAATTTTTTTTTTGTTTGATGTTTCGTTTTTCTTAATGAGCATGGGATTTCGATAGACAGATCGTACAGCATTCTGGAACAATAGTAACGGATTTTCGATGCCGACATAAACTCGATTGTACCTCCCGCCAAAAATCACATCACACAGTTGATACGTGATTGTTCATTATTTGAACAACAATGGTGAATAACTGTACAAGGCACGTTTCGATAGAAAATCATAGTTCTGGTTCATCATGCATTTTATTATGGCTGTTGTGGTTATGTCTCTTGTCTTTCTTTTGCATTTATATTATCCGCCAACTCCAATCGTGTTGCAGTATCGCTGCGGGAACAATGTGACACATTGCACAAAGCAACGTAATGCGACTCCAGAAAATTTGTTGTCTTGCCGAACTATCACTGAACCTGATCTAACGATGCGTATCGCAACGATTCCAGTAAAATACAGTTGTAAAAGCAATGCGAGCCTTTATTGGTATCACCAGCCGAAACGTGGTCGTGGTCACGTAAGGGAAGAGAACGTGTGGTATTTATAAGGGTTGTTCACCGTCTAGACATTTTTCCGGAATGGGCCTTATGTGACTGGCGATGGAGGGTTTGCCAGAAATCAGGTCACCATGCTTTGTACTTTTACTCTGACTCACACGTGTCAAGTACGATCGAGAAAATGCCGACACGTTCACGCGGTCGCAACTGAATCAAATCCATTTCTGACTCATACCGTGAGAATTCTCAGAAGGTTAGGCTTCTCCCGAGACAAGTGTAATACCCTTTCCACGTAAAAGCATCGAGATTTGTGCATGCAAATCCTTTTCGATTGATATCACAAACGGATTTATACCCCTGATGACTCTTCACAGTCAAGTCGACAACAACTCCGACAGCTCCTGCTCAAACCACTACTGGTTCGTCTATAATGGATGATTTACTTGGATTGGATCTACTTGGTCCTGAGTCCGGGGATGCCACTCCCATCACTGTTCCAACTCCCGTCGCGCCAATCATTGGAAGTAATGTTGGTGCCAAACCGACAACAGCAACAGGGACCACGAATGACAACCCTGCGAAGCCGGCATTTGGTGAGTTTTCTTCTTTTCTTTTCCTCCCCCAGGTATAGGATATCCTTAGATCAAAGAATCGTCGATATCCGCAAACTATGACATTTCTTTACCTTCGGGTTACATTCGAACTGCTCAGTGTTTTTTTGTCTTCACTGTTCTGCTTGTATTTAATGGTTCCCATTTCCATTCTTACCAAATCTAGCTAGACTGACTTATTTTATCCCTTTAAAAGCTTGATGCGCTCAGCATATATTCACTGATTCTTACTCTTGATGTTCCCTAGCCTTGGATGATTTGTTGTCACTAGACCCCTTGTTGGGTTCCATGGACCCTGTTCCGCCAACGTCTGCACCGGCGCCGATCACCCAACTCCCCGAGACCGGTGGATCAATACATTTACCCCCAGGTGAGTCGATTATTCACGTCAATCATCCGTGTGAGTTC